GCAAATCCTAGGCTCAATCTGTAGTAAGAGGGACCCATGTAATAACATTCCATTAGTTGTGCAAGTCCTAGGCGCTCAATCTGTAGTAAGAGGGACCCATGTATTAGCATTCCATTAGTTGCGCAATTCCTCGATTCTAAAAAAGCCATTAAAAAAAGGCTGCGCCTAGGAGGAATAAAATGCGTTTGTGTATTGCGGATTTTTATTTTAACATTTGCTGTTTTCAAATCATCAGAGGTCGAGTGGATCTGGCGCCCATTTTTGAAATGTTTGCCTTTTCTTTGGCGTACGGGACATCCTGTCCAACAAAGGATTCGTTAGGATTGAAGGGGAAGTACGCTTACGCAACAGCCTACAGGAACCCTCCATCCATGCTGAATGGACTGCAGCTGAAATCAGTGTAAGTATTTAGAATGACATGCATGATACAGAAGTGAAGACGGTCTGCTAAGAATACGCAATGACGCAAGACTGAGATATACGGTGCTCGTTCTTTTGACATTGCTGCTCCTTCCTTATGAAACTCATTATCAGCAGCCATAAAGAACTATAAAAAATTTGATTCATCTAAAAAAATATTGGATGATGATGACCATGATGGTGATGATGATAAAGATGATGATGATGTTGTGATGAGGCTGGTGATAGGCGTGATGATGATGGTGGTGGTGATGGTTATGTTGGCGATGGTGATGGTGATAATGATGATGATAATGGTTATGATGATGGTGGTGATGGTGATGGTGATAGGGATGCTGAGGTTGGTGATATGATGATGATGATGATGGTGGTGATGATGATGATGATGATGGTGATGATGTTGGGATGATGTTGGTGATAGGGATACTGAGGCTGGTGATAGGGATACTGAGGCTGGTGATAGGGGTGATGATGATGGTGGTGGTGATGGTTATGTTGGCGATGGTGATGATGATGATGGTGGTGATGGTGATGATGATGATGGTGATATGGGTGCTGGTGAAGATGGTATTATATTGATGATGATATATACGCAAAGTCCTTTCACAAACACTCCTCTGGCCTTGTTACAACAGAAGTGTATTCCTGATATACCCATACATTTTTTCACTGTAGGACCGGCAAGCATTACTTCTCCTACCCTTCCAACTTGTACATCGGCGTTGATTCCAGTCAAAGCGCTCAGTGCAATGATGTGCACTTTATCGAGTACCATAGCTCACATTGGTTTAACGGTGCCGTGCTTAACGACAAGGTAATTTTTACCGTTACCATGGCAATGTCGAATTGTCTTGTTGCCACCAAAGAGGCTTTGATGGGAAAACGCATATTTATTATGATGTTTACTAGGCTACTGAAGGACCTTTTCTTGTTTCGTTGAAGACTAAATGCCTTTATGAAATACTGCATGATCCCCCCC